ATCAAATAATCCTAATATATATATATATATATATATATATATATATATATATTTTAAATAATTCATTTTTTCTGATTTCTAGAGTAGTTTGACATCCATTATTAAAAAGAACAAATGTTTTATCCACTTCATTTCCAAAATAATATGGCATATATGCTTCGGATTGTGAAGTGATGGCATGGTTATTAAAAGACAAATGCCAGTCTTGACCTATCAAAATCAAAATAGTTTCATGGCACTCTGGGTCTTGCAATGGTAATTTTACTCACATCAAAATCAACTCTTTCTCCATCTGGAATCTTTGGGGGCACCAGGTTCGGCAACATAAAAGGTCTGGAAAATATAATGATGTTTCAAAATTCTGTATGAAATGAAACCAAGTACTTTTGATCTTTAAAAACATAAAACCAATAAATGGTTATTCATCTAAACTTACTTTAGGAATTTGGGTTTAGCTTCTTCTGAAGAATCAAACATACAAATAAACAACAGAAGTTATCATAATGTTAAAAGGTTACAGATGCTGAAGAATGCGTCATAAAATCCGTAAACTAGATTTTATTTCTGATGGAATGAATGTTATCATAAGAGGATTGGGGATGATCTAATGCTTTGAAGAGACAGTTATCCAGAAGGGTGTGTGTGTCGTAACACAGGTTTCTACATGTTTCAAACAATTACTTGAGAGCTGTAAATCTCAGGTTTCCTGTCTTTGCAGTGCAATAAAGAGCAAATACCTCCTCCATCTTCTGTCTCCTCTTCACCATCTGAAAGCAGGGAAGGAAAGGAGGTTACAAGTGGGTAATCGGCATCACTGGCAGTACCAGAACAGAGAGACAAAATTAGAAACTGATAACGGAAGAATGGTGGGAAAAATACCGTCACATACCAAACACTCGTCACTTCGACTATACATAGAGCAGAATATTTGATTCAACCCATGTGTGTGTGTCGTGAGTTCAATTAAATGATAAACACAGATGTACACAATAAAAAAAGAAGAAACAAATAGAAATGCATATGTATATGTAACTATATAACAGTAAAAATATATTTTTGTGAATCTATTGGGAAAAAAGTAAAAAGTATGACTTACCTTACAAATGATTAAACTTATATTTAACAAAGCAATACATACAATTTAGGTGTAATTTTTTTCTTCTAGATATTTTGAAAAATTACTGAACATTCTCTCCCTTATCTATTTTTAACCTTTGTCAGAATTTTTTTTAAAGCTTTTGACTTTTAAACAGTGTTTTATTTGTAAATCTGCATGATTTTGGTCTTCATCAATGCAATTCAAACACAAAAATAGAAATGTTTAGAGTAAACTTCAATGTGGTTCTGCCCTCAGATTTAGTGCTATCTGTCAAAAAATCCGTCCAAACTTTATCCTTCTATCTATGCAGAAGGTATTTCTGTGGCTCACCGATCAGTTTTGATAAGCCAGTTGGCAGATGATATGACTGAAAATGAAAAACAAACACCAAATTCCAACAGCTATCAATGTTGCTTATAATCGTCTTTGTCTAAATCTACTTTAAAGTAGATAAAGTAGACATAGCGTTCAATTAAAAATGTACTTAAACTCGTTTTTAAAAGTGTTATGGCAGGTCAAGCTAGTGGAGTTTGATTTAGTGCATTTTACAACATTAAACAACTTTGAGACTAAATGGATGAAAATAATTTTTTTAAAATCCATTTTGTTTCGGAATACCAAATTTTTCAATTCAATGCAAATTTTCAGTTCAGTTGGGGCACTAAAGTTTTTATTTGGTATAATAAAAACTGAAAAAATTGTTTCGATTTTTGGACAATAGTGGCATATAGTGTTTATTTTTCTATGCAAATATTTTCTTTTTCAGTCCAGAGAATATGCCATTATTTTTGAAGAAATACCTGATTACTTTAAATGACTTCAGTCTGATTTTAAGAACTCTTCATGATCTCCTCACATTATTTTTGATTTGTTTATTGACCAACATCTCTTTTTGAATATTTTTGAGTAGATCTGTTTGTTTGCGATGTAGATCTGGAGGGGTTTGAGGTCAAACTGAGGGTCTCACCAACAGGACTCACCATGTTCCTGAGTGGTCTCTTCCTCTCCTCCTGCTTCCTCCTCATGAGCCTCTGAACATGGAGAAAGTTGAAGGACGGGTATAGTTAGCTTGCATTACCGTCAACTATGATTCACTGTTTCCCTTCATTAGCCATCAAATTACATAATGATTCCTTTGAGTTTAGTCATTCCATCCAGTTGAAAGTGTGAATAACACAAAATCTAATAGAAGTGTGTGTGGAAGATGCGAGTTAATTCCTGAGGGCAAAAGAGCCGTATACCAGCCTGGGCACAATGGGTACTGGTGGCAGGCTTCTTAGATTAAAGCATACCTCAAATCTCTCAGATGGTTACACACTTACACACAGCAAAACGCACATCTCTACCCAGCCGCGCAACTGTTGTCTATGATATAAATGCGTCAGCATGTCTGAAATCAGACCACCCTTAAAAATATTGTAGTACAGAAGGTAATACCATACTTTGAGTTAGTTCCTTTCCTCAAATCTGATATTACTAAATGTGGATTACTGCTACACTGCTCATTTTACTTCATAACTTTATGAGTAAGTCATTAAAGAATAGAAAGAGCTTTGGTGATAACAAAGCGAATTGGAAGCAGCATTGTTCAGTTTTTGAATGAGTCTATGGATGAATCATTGAATTATTCACTTCACCAATTCGTTCAAAAACACTCATTCTGAGTACTAGTATGCGCTGTCGGATTTTGCTGTGGATGTTATGTTTTTTTAACAGAGCAAAAATGGTAGTATTGTGTGTAAAAATTAAGGTGCATCACATTAGCAAAAATCTATGTGAAATTCAGCTGTGTGGATTCCTATTGAAATGACTGGGAATTCACTGAACAACGGTAAATACCATATGCTCGCTCATTTTCTGCAAAATCCAGTCATTTCAGTAGGAGTTCACACTTTTTCATGGGGCACAAAAATTAGCTTTCACTCATCTCATACTGTTGCTCTGTTGCAGATGAAATCCAATAGGAATCTGTGCAGTTTGGAGTTTTGCATAAGGGAGAAAAACGTCCCTACAACACAGGTATTCAAAACTAGTACCGAATATCGGTATTCAATAATAGTAGTATTCAAAACTACTATTCTGGGGAAAATGGCTATCAAAATCAAATTCCTGTGGGGGTTCTACCTTAGTTTAAATATTCCAAGGGGGCAGAGGTTCGCTTCAACATGCAACACCCCACAGAAATAGTATAAAACTAGCCCAAACCCACGGGAAAACCAATGACTTGGCAACACTGAAGGTCCTTGCACACTGAGTCCAAAATATTTGTACGCGTTTTTTCACATTCGTCAAGAGAAAAAGAAAGAGGAATATTGGGCCCATCCAATCCTGAGATAGTGTAGAGAGGAAAGAGAGTTCCACCTCCTTATCAAGGAACTGCATGGGTTATCCCAGCCATGCGATTCAAAGCTTACTTCAGGATGTCAGTGGTTCAGTTTGATGCTTTGCTAGCGATACTGGAGTCACATATTAAAAAGAAGATCACTAATTTCCATTAACTCAGTCAATCAATCAATCAATCAATCAATCATTTATTTATAAAGTACCTTAACCATGAAGGTATACCAAAGTGCTGTACAAGAAGATCAAAAACAAATGGGTCTTAAGACGTGATTTGAACATCTGCAGAGAGGTCAAAGTGCGCACAGAGAAAGGAAGATCATTCCATAGTCTAGGAGCCACAACTGAAAATGCTCTATCACCTCTACACTTAAAGGACACCTATTATGCAAAATCCACTTTTACATGGTGTTTGGACATAAATGTGTGTTGGCAGTGTGTGAACACAACCACCCTACAATGATAAAAATCCACCCACTCCTCATTTTTAATTCCCTTTAAACCAAGTGAGTCTCACTAGGCCTGCCAATTTGATTCTCATGCAGTGTGACATCACATTGCATAGGGCGGGGCCACTGGGTTGATTGACAGCTCTGCATTGCTATAGTTTCCGCTCTCAGTGGTGGTACACTGTCCTCCATTTTCTCCGCTCTTGAGCAGCTGTAACGTCAACGATAGCTATGTTTCCATCACCCTATTTTAAATTCATATTTAGCATGTTCACTAACAGAAAGCTGTTAGAAAGTGACAAGCTGTGCTTATATCGCTCCTTTTGACAACAAACAACCGATTTGTTGCCCAGAAAAAATTCTCTAATGTGATAGAGCCTAAAAACAATTTTAGCCAAACAGAAAATGTCCCAATACTTATGAATGTGAACAAACTGTTTTGTAAAATTAAATTACTGGATAATAAGCACTATTTTGTATAAAGTTAAAACAAGGAGTTAATATTGAGTAACTTAGTGCCAGTAACTTACTGCCAGTACTGACAGTTTCTTTATGTTTTTGCTCCACCAACAAAAATGGTTTCAAAGGAAGCCCAGCAGAACTGTTGTGCATCGTCTTGTAACACAGTAGCTGTGTTTCGGACCTGAATCAGTGTTTGTGAATCACAACTGAGTGAACGATTCAAAGACTCAAAAAGATAGCCACTTGTTTCCTTCCTATATGATTTAGCATTTTGAACAAATCAGTTGAATGAATGATTACAATAGCTAAGTTTCCATCACCCTCTTTTATTGTGCATTTTGAAGTATCGCATGAGAAACGAGTGATGGAAACGCCAAATTTCGAATAAAAATCCCTTAATTCGCAAAACAGTTTTTACGCTCGCTTGAGGTGGTTTTTGACTTGTGCGAAAAACGGTTGATGCGAATAATGGGAGATGGAAATGCATTTTGCGAATAAATTCCTCCAAGCGCATCAAAAAAGTCATGTGACTTTGCGCTATGGGATGGCATAACCTGACTAACCAGCGGACCGATCTCATTCCACAGCTTCTGAAATCTTATGGTCATTCGGAAATGCACAAGCAAAGTCTGTCATCAAAGTATTTCTGTATAATTGCCTCCCAGAAATGTCTTACACGACTGCGTTCCCAAACAGCAGCATCCACCTCCGAAAGCAATGACCGCATTCATTGTGTTTCGTCTGCTTGCACTGAGGCGCAAGTAAATTATTATATATGAAAATTATTATATTTTCTTAGTGATTTATAGTGCCAGTTTATCAGGAAGTGACGATTTTGTTCTCTTTGACTTGTTGGATGGAAACGATGCTTGTTCGCAAATGTTATATGCGATATTCCAGTTTTGCGCATAAGTTAAATTCGCAACTTTGGATGGAAACCCGGCTAATGTCTCGCAAGCAATCCCGATGCTCTGCTCTACTGAGGATCCTGTGGATTACTTTCATTTTTCAAGGTAATGCGCCTCAAAATCTACCTAAATACGTGTATCACTCCAGACTCCTTTGTGAATGTCAAGTTGTTATAGTGCTTAGCGTTTTAACCATATTTGTGTGCGTACATTAAGTATTTTTAACTGATCAGCAGCGCGCTTGTGAGATTAGTTTGCCCCGTTTGTAGTGCGAGATTCATTCAGTAGCGCGGTCGTGCGGCTCAGTCCATTGATCCGCGTCGATGACAGGTCAGCGCGGCGCGAGCTCTGTAACATCGAGCTGTTTCGTCCTACTTTCAGTGCATTTGGCTAAATGCCAGTTCTCTTGCTCTCAGTCATGTTGCTTCTACCGGCTGTTTATTGCTGTAGATATGAAATGCAGAGAGACATATACACTATGCATCCGAAAACCAGACAGTATCTGGTGTGACCACCATTTGCCTCATCTGTGGCATTGTGCTGTGTGATAGAACTGCACATTTTAGAGTGGTCTTTTATTGTGGCCCGCCTAAGGCACACCTGTGCAATAATCATGCTGTCTAATCAGCATCTTGATATGCCACACCTGTGAGGTGGATGGATTATCTCGGCAAAGGAGAAGTGCTCACTAACACAGATTTAGACAGATTTGTGAACAATATTTGAGAGAAATAGGCCTTTTGTGTACATAGAAAAAGTCTTAGATCTTTGAGTTCAGCTCATGATAAATGGGGGCAAAAACAAAAGTGTTGCGTTTATAATTTTGTTCAGTGTAGGTGCCCTTTAAGACATGTACGTGGAACCTTGAGCATAATCTGCGAGTTAGATCTTAGCGATCTTGAACTCAGTCGGTGCGTTCCAAATGGGATATATCGCCCTCCGAAGGGCACTTGGGAGTGAAAACAATCATGGCCGCCATATTGAAGGGTCGTTCCAACCCGAAGTGCTCAAAACTGGCCACTTCAAAGGGCCCTTCAGAATGAAGGATTTCAAAGGGTACAACTGATGGACACTTCGGGCTCCCATGATCCTTTGCACAGATTCTTTGCATGATGACGGCGCCTCCGTGTGGGCACGTGATGATGACTCAGAAGGGCACTTCAAGAAACAGTTGTTTGGTCGCCTGCACCCTTCAACCCTTCGAAGCTCTCACTCCACAGGGTAAACCCTTTGAAGGGATTAGGGCATAGGGATGAGCCCTTCTGAATGGAACGCAGGGAGTGTCAGATCAACTTGTCAGACGCCATTCTGGATTTTGGCATTCGCTTGTACGGTGGCTCTGAATTGTCAAAATGCTTGCTACGGATGTGAAAAATGCAGAAAATCGAACCCGAGCCGAATTAGTTTATTTTATGACGGTCGAAAGTTTCGGAGACAGTGTATAAACGTGATTGACACAACGTGAGGTATTTTTTAACGTGCGAAAATTTCGGACAAAAATGTCTGTGTGCGAGGACCTTGACTCTGGCCAATAGAAAACTGCATGTAAAGTAATGTTAGTGTAAGCTGTGCTTCATATATATTTACACTCTTGACAATGGACCTTTTTGGCCCACAAAATTCTGCCTTACTTTCACTAACCTTTAACTTCTTGTTTATTATCACTGTTAACATTTTCTGTCTCAGAGACATTTGCAGGCGAACTCCAGTCATTCCAATAAGAATCTGCGTGATTGGGAGTTTCGAATAGGGGTGAAAAAGTTTCCCATGTGGATTTTGCTAATTTTCATATTGGCCGTGTGAATTTGCTGCATTGACCAACAGAAAGCTGCTTGGTTTGAAAGTAACTTCTATGTGAGCTGTGCTTTATTCATTACTACTTTTTTAGACAATAACCAATTTCTCTTTTTATCCTGAGAAATTTCTACGCAATTTGGCGGCACCTTTAAGCAGGCCTATTACCGTTTGTTACCTTGGAACATCTAAATAATTTCAATATACCTTGGAAGTGATTTCCATTTTCATGTACCATGTTATTTACTCACAGAATACCATGGTACATTTGAAAAAATATGGTATTGGCATGCTACCATAGTGCATCTAAGTGTTAGTGAATGGCTAGTGCCCTTTGCCTTTAGCAGATAAGCAGTAGCTACCTTCCTCATGCTGCACCTCCTCCTGCACCTCCTCGTGCTCCTCCTCCTGCACCTCCTCTTGCACCTCCTCCTGCACCTCTAAGCCACACCATGCAGGTTAGGTAAGTAAACAAACAAAAACACATCACAAAAATGGAAGCTAGGAGATCTGTCGACACTGAAACACAGTAATGGGTTAGTGATGATATGCAGATGCTTCGGGACTTTCTGCTCTACTTATTCCATATGTGTCATTTTTGGGTGTGTTTTGTTCAAAGCTGACACGCAGAGTGAACAAAACTGCTGCAACTCACAAGAAAAGCTCAGCTTTCACGCTCATAAATCTACATGACGGGTCGCCATATCTTGCAAACGCACTTACATGTCAGAATATTTATGATTTTTGTTATAATCCACAAAGGTGTAAAAACCTGATAAGCTGGTAGTTTTTGAAGGTTTTATTGTAGTATTGTTATCTCCTATTTCAAATATCAGTGTAATGACACAATTCTTTAACAACCCTGTTGAAAACATGCTGTATCTTTTACATAAACCACCATATAATCGATCGCTTCGCTTTTCTAAAACTATGTAGCTGCAAGGCCACTATTTATGACCTACTTTAAAACAAAAACAGTATTTTCTTGTTTACAGCGGAAGTATGAAATAATATTACGAAATGCAAGACTTACCCTCCTGCTCCCTAGAGAACAAGACAGAATAGTGCTGTTATTTCCATTGTTCTCGTAGCTCAAGTACCTTCCCAACAGCTGCCTGAACTCTCAGATTAAAATATACTTATCAGAGGAGTGGGATATATGACAAGCAGATGCTATTCAAATGACCAATAGCACTGGTCACTATAGTATACAGTTAATGCACAGTATTCTTATTTAAACAAAGTAATATTACTAGAAAAGAAATATTGTAAGAGTATTTGTCATTGATGGATGGATGATAATCGAGCAGTGAACTGGTACACTTACTCGTACTCCTCCACTTCTTCGATGTCTGACATTTTTACTCTGTAATGAAAATACATGAAAATATAATATAATAATATTTAAAAGAATAATCAATATCATAATTGATGTTGTTTTTCTAAACATTCTAAAAATTCCATTAATTTTTTTGCTTTTTATTCTAATTATAAACATCCATTTTTCTGTACATAATACATCAGTAATATACTACATAACACATAATACTCTTACCTGATATACCAGCAGAGATGTGTGAAGAAAGGCTGTGTTAATGTCCGAGCTCTGGCTCTCCTCTTGATTCTTATATGATTGGGGCTGGGGCTGTTTCTGGGGGTCATACATCTCACTCAGTGTGTTTATTTTTACCCTCAGAGATAAGTGGAGAACAGTCTTGCTAGCACTCCCTAAAAGGCCGCTGGCTTTGTTATGGTATAGAGAATGGTGATGGCTAATGTCCATATCAACATGAGTCTCTTAGAGGTGTCCTCTGATAACACGAGGGACTGGTTAGTCTCTGACCGGTCTGACTCACTTCATGGCACCATGCTTACCATTCCACATCTCACTCACGCCAGCAGCCTGAGACTGCACCGCGTTCAGATGTGCAGTTTAGTTTGTTTCCATGAGTGAGCCATGCTGGAAGGTTTAAAACTTGGTTTAAAAAGAACTTTGGCCTTATGTTGTTTGAATACTTCAGTATTTTGAAGAGAGATTGAATTTTTTATTGTAAGAATGTATGCCTTGTTAGATGTTCTGAGTTTTCTATGCAGTTGCTAATGTGCTTTGAGTGATTACTAGATGCTTCAATATGTGTAGCTCAAAGATCTGCACAAAAAGTAAAATAATAATAGTATTGATGACAACATTTTTGTTAATTGTTATTATTTAAAAAAAAAAATATATATATACTGGTAACACTTAAAGCCTTTATGTACAATGCATTATAAAGGGTTATTAAAGGGTATAATGCATT